CTGCTTCTCCCTCTGACCCTCCTCCCTCTCATGCTCTCTGTCTCTCATTCTCTCTGTCTCAAATAAATAAATAAAATCTTAAAAAAAAAAAAATTCAATGAGGCCCTAAGCGTGGGGTGTCAGTCTGACAGGGCTGGTGTCCTTGTAAGACAAAGAGACACCACAGTTCCCTCTGTCCACCAGATGAGGACCCAGCAAGGCAGCACCCCTGGTGGCACTTGGAGCTCAGACTGCCAGGCTTCAGAACTGGGAAAATACGTGTCCGTTGCTTAAGCCAGCCCATCTGCGGTAGTTTGTTATGGGGGCCCCGGGAGACTAATACAGTGACCCATTAATTGTATGAATGCTGTGGCCGCCTTACAGGTCTATCTTCTCTTTCCCTTTCCCTTCTCCCCCTTCTTTCTCCTTTCCTCCCTTCCTTCCTTCCTTTTCAGAAATGTTTATGTCTCTCCAGTGGAACTAAGAACATCTGCCTTGCTTACCTAACCAAATCTGTGTGAGGCTTAAATTAAATAGAAAACATGAGGTACGATATAGGACAGCAGTTACTACGGTATTTCTGTTTAAGCTCTATCACCTATCGTTGCAAATGTAAACTACTACATGGGGCAGCCGATCTGGACCCAAATGTGGGGGCCCCCTTTCCCCCTCCCCCCATGCGAGGTTACTTGGGCAATGGAGTGGTGTTGGTGTTTCTTTGCTTGGACACTTTTATTTTTTGAGTGGTAGGGGAGCTATAAGAAGGCTAGGAGGAGAAGACATATATGAAAAGGATTCTAGTTCTAGTCCTAACAGAGCATTTTCCCTCCACCCTTTGATGGTCAAGTGGTATCATGTCCTTCATTCAGCAAATACAGATAGTTTCTACCCCATGTCAAGTGCTGTGCTGGGTAGATACAGAAGTGACGAATCCGATGAGGCCTCTGCCTTCAAGCTGACATTCTGACGGGGTGCGTGTGTGTGCGCATGTGCGTGCGTGCCCGCAGGCAGAATGAGAGAGGAGGTCGGGCTCAGAACAGAGAACAATTGAATGAAGAAAATAATGACAGACTCTGAAGAAAACCAGCTGGGTCCCATGTCAGAAGTTACAGGCGTGGCTCTGCTAGAGACAAAATCTAGTGTCCATGGCCTCTTCATCTCCCCTTTGTTCTTCTCTTCTCCTCTCTTCCCTCAACCCCAGTCTCCAAGAACAGCTCCTAGTTTCTCCCAAAAATGTTGAATCAAGATGACGGTCTTCTTGTTGGGATCATTCCTCATATGATTTACATATACAGGTCACAATAATAGTAACAGCTATTAACGTGTACTTCTGGCCTGGGTGCTACTCTGCTAGGCATTTTTTGGTAATAAACTTTAAGTTTTAGAATAGTTTTATTTTTACAGGAAAGTTGCAGAGATGTACAGAGTTCCCATACACCCCACACTCAGTTTGTCCTATTATGAACATCTTACCTGAGTATGGTACATTTGTCGTAAGCTATAAACCAGTTTTGATACGTTAATATTAACTAACATCCATTCTTTACTTGAATTTCGTTACTTTTTACCCTAATGTCCTTTTTCTGTTCCAGGATCTCTTCCAGGATGCCACAGTACAGTTGATGGTCATATCTCCTCTTGGCTGTGACAGTTACTCAGACTTTCCTTATTTTTGATGACCTTGACAGTTTTTTTGAGGAGTACTGGTCAGGTATGTTGTAGAATGTTCCTCAACTGGGATTTGTCGGGTGCAATGCATTATTTCCTATTCTCATGGCTAACCTTCAGTGTCAGTATAAATTACTCATTTCATCATTACAGATGAAAACACTGAGGCACAGAGAGGTTAAGGAACTTCCCTAACGTTGCACAGCTAGCAAATGACAGAAACAATGATTCAAACTCAAGACTGACATGACTTCATGCCACGCATTTACTTTGCCTCCCCGCCCCTCTCTGCCGAATTCCTGACAACAAAAGAATTCGCTTCAAGGCTGTCTGGGTGATTTCTTTGGTACTTGTTCCTCCCAAATAGTTTTAAACAATTAATATGTTTAATTAAATTAGAGCAATTTCCCCAATCAGTTATTTGCTGAACTGATTATTTGTGTAACTTCAGTGGCTATCTTCTCAGGGCAGTTGATTAATCCAGAAAGAACTTTACGAAGTATTCGAGCGTCTGTGTTTCTCGGAGTGGCTCTCAAACTGTGCTCACCTGGAATGCATGAGTATCACCCGGACTGCTTGTTAAACGTCCGCTTCCCTGGGGTAGGATGACCAACTGTCCCAGTTTGCCCAGAACTGAGCAGTTCCCAGGATGTGGGATTTTCTGGCTAAGACCAAAACCAGGACAGTCCCAGGCAAACCAGGATGGTTGGTCCCCCTACCACAGAGCTACCATGAATTGCTAGGGCCCAGCAACCTGCTTGTAAACAAACTACCCAGGAGATTGTTCTAAACACACACAAGTAGGAGATCCCCTACATCAGATATGGGAATGAATTACTGGAAGAACTGGTGGTGGGTTTCTGGAAACACTGAGTTTCATCTGGGTATGTTTGATTCTGCCTGAAGTCGAGGTAGAAAATTGTCACCCAGTGTTCAGCCCAGATGACATCAGTGGGGATGCTTTTTCACCCTTTAGGTAAGAAATGGGCACTACCTTTCCAACTCCACATTTTTGTTGAGGGATGATGGAGCGCCCAAAAGATATTAGGTCCTTCTGAGGTCATTATTTATCAGTTGGGATCAATGAATCTGTGTTAACCTGGGGCAGTGGTTCTCTACCTTGGCAGATGAATAGAATCACCAGGGAGAGTTTAAAAACCCTAACGCCCAGGCCCACCCCAGACCAATTTCATCAGAATCTCTGGGATTGGGAGCCAGGCACCAGTAATTTGATAGTTGGAGAACCATGGATCTAAAGCAGCCCTGTCCAGTAGAAATAATATGTGAGCTGTATTTTCTAGTAGTCACATTTTAAAAAGTAAAAGCAGCACATGAATTTAAAGAATATATTAAATTTAACACAGCGTATCTGAAATTTTATCTTTTTAACCTATAATCATTATAAAAATGATTAATCACACATTTTATGTACAGTTTTTCCTCCTAAGTCTTTGAAATCTGTGTGCAGTTTATTCTTTATGGTACTTCTCAGTTCAGATGCTGAGTTTTCATCAGAACTACTTGATCTGTATTTAGATTCACATATGCCCGAGTTGTTCCAAACGTGTTTAACTTAAAAGTAGTCCAATCACTGAATCAGGTATAATTTTCCAAATTTTAATTTTAACTAAAATGAAAAATGCTGTTTCTCAGTCTCACTAATCACATTTCAATTACTGGATAGACACGGGCGACTGATAGCTTTGAAGATAGTTATCACGGTTCTAGGGCAGTGTTTCTCAGACTTTAATTTGGGCATACAAATCGCCGGCAGTTAGTCTGGTTAAAAGCTAGGTTCTGATTCAGCAGATCTGGGGTGAAGCCTGAGATTCTGCATTTTGAACAAGCTCCCAGGTGATGCTGATGCTGCTGATCCAGCGACCACATTTTGAGTGGCAACGGACTAGAATAATCTTGAATGAGGGCTACCTCAACTCTGATTTCTCTACTTGCTTGGTGGTATTCTCTCATTTTAAAGGCTGGCAAATGTGCATACAATCGTGTGAATGTATATAAAATACGTGTGTACATACGTACATGCAAATGTATGTGTATGTGGCTGAATATGCTGAGCTTGTGTTCACCTCTGAACTTGTGTAGACACCTAAGTAAGCTCTGTAAATATAGAAAACGCTTCATTACTACATGTGTTCTTTGCCTTCTTCACTTTTTTAAATTCAGCTTGCTCTTCTTTGGTCACTGGAACTGAACAACAGCTGAATGTTTAACCTTGATTTAAGTCCCTATATGTATTTGTTTGCTTTTTTTTTTTTTTTAACTGAGTGCAGTTGGTTCCTGCATTGTATTTCAGTGTTTGAAGGTATTTAAAAAGTATTTGATGACCCAGCCTCTCTGTGGTTTTGTGTATAATGCAGAGTAACCTCCAGTTCCATCTGGTTCCCTTGTACTTGTGTGTAGAAATATTATGCCCCAGTATGTGTGTTTCTCTCTATAGATGGTTTCTCATTCTTCTTTAGACATCAGTATGGAAAGGTTGTGAATTACTTCTAAAGTGTTGTTCCAACATTTACCTGCCCTCCCCCCCCAGTCCAAACAACAAAAGCTAAAATTGATTGAGTTCTCTTTTTCAAGATTTATAATCTGAGAAAATTATTTGAACATAAATAGCAACCAAAATCATAGTGAAGTTGGAGAAATTGGTCATACTTGTCCCTTTATTATCCTTTAGTTTCTTTTAAGGGACAAGTTTTCCATGGGAAAACACCATTATTTTTGGCAGTTATTGGAATCAGACAAAGGACAAGATGAAAGACATAGCTATTACAGACTTTGGGGAAAAAAACAGGGAATAACCCTTCCTTCACTAAAATGGAAGGAAATAAAATGAGGGATAACAATTAGGTATATCAAAGCAGGATGGAGGGTAAAAATATTATTTTTTACTCTAAACCCAATTTTCGTTTTATTTTCTGTTACTGGCCGTGTGTGGTGGAAAAATTATATATTTTTATGAGATAGAATACTTATTCTGTGTACAGTTATAGATCCCAGTGGTTATAAGATTTGGCGTCATCCACGAAAATGGCTACTAATTCAAAAGCTTAGTTCATTGGGCTGCATTCTGGAGGATTCAAAAATCTCCAGGGAAATCAAGCTAGAGCTCAGCGTGAATAGTTTCTTAATTTTATTTCTTTTGACTTGTCTACATGGGTGTCTCTGAGTGAAGTTTGGATATATTACATTTTTTATTTCCTGTGGATCATGCTGCATTTAATTATAGCTAATAATAATAGCTAACATTCATTAACTGCTTAATATGTGTCAGGGCCTTATTAATTACTTTATTTGCTTTATTTTATTTAATTGTCATAGCAATTTCATAAGATAGGTACTCTCAAAAGTATAATTTTTAAAGAACTAAAAACAATCTCGTACAAATACAGAATGAACACCTGTCAAGAATTTATTCAACTCATTGATGATCAGAACCATAAATGGATTAAGCTGATTCCAAGAGCATTATGAGGAACTTGGTACTTATAGGCATTTTGAGGGAAAAAAAAGCATTGCAATAAGACTTCTAGGATAGATTCAAAACTGATTACTGTCCTACAGGGCAATAAAACCACGACCTTTGGGGTTATCTTTTCTATTGGACAGAAGTCTATGAATTAGCATGTAACTTCAGAGCATCTGAACTCTAAACGAGTAAAAAAAAGAAAGAAAGTCAAACACAAGTGCATTTCCTAGGTAACGAAGTAAGTCTTAGGCAGGTTAGTGCCCCAGGAAGATTTTGAAAGGTCATGTCACAGCCCATTTCACCTCATTTAAAGTTTGGGAATAATTTTCTTAACAAAATTATACTTATCCTCATTTTACCAATGGGGATGCTTAGAGATGTTAAATAATATGATAAAGGAATCACAGTAGGAGTAGAATGAGACTGGAGCCCATGTCCTTCTGACACTGAAACCTACTCCCTTATACTAGTTTAAATCCATTTGACCTGTTTTATAAAATTCTCTCTCTCTCTTTCTGTGTGTGTGTGTGTGTGTGTGTGTACGTGTACGTGTACATGTACATGTGGCAGGAAAGAGGATTTGGAAACTGGCATTCTAACCTGGATATTTGGGGGGCTTTTACTGGCAAAGCTTATTCAGATGATCCTAACATTTTGACCAGTTTTCCTTTTTTAAAAAAAGAAAAATCTCACCCCTTGCCATTAAAACATCATCATTAAAGGAGGAGTCTAATCTGTTGGTTTCTTAGGAATGGGGGGTAGGGCTTGCACTGAACCATCACATACGTTATCCTTGCCCTTGACCACCAGCACACATTTGAGAACTAGCTGGCTATGGGGGTTAGACTTTGAAGTTCTGAAACGGGCTTTTCCTTGGTACAAAGCAAAATGTGTTCATGCAGAGTCTAAATCCATGAACCCCGGTCTGTAATCAACGCAGCTACCCAGCTTTGATCCAAGAGAGTTAATACATGCCTCGTAGGTGTAATTTGAGTGAAGACAGTCTAAAATCTATTGGATTTCAGAGGGAGGGCAAGAGAGAGAACGAGAGATTACATTAATTGAAGGCAAAGTTGAATTTTGTACCCATCAGGAGGACCAGGGCCCAGACTGAAAGGTTAAAATGTGGGGATGGAAGGTGGGGGGAGTGTGTGGATATGGGAATTTGGCAGTATGGGCAGACACCGCTCCCCTCCTCGGCACTCTCACCTCTAATCTGTTTGCCTCCCTTGAGCCAGGCAGCTGCCAAGAGGGGGTGACTAGAGCAGGTGAGGCCTTGGGCTCTGCTGAGGCGCTTGGGAGTTGGGAAGACCTGGGCTGGACTACTGCACAAAGGGGTCACCTGATGATGACCAGAGGGTGGCAGATCCCAGCTCGGTGTTCAAGATGGATGACGATCCCACCTGAGTGTGCTGGATGTCCGTGATCCCCACTAACAGTAGAAAGTGAAAGCTCTAAAAACTAGCAGTGGTCGTGCGGCCAGTTGTAGAAATGAAGATGGCAATCAGCATATTTTCTTCCTGTTGTGCTATAGATGTGTCTGTACATAAAGTTTGGTCTTC